GTAGCCATATTATCAAAGAATTAATTTGTCTTTATAGACGGTGCTTATTTGTTTTACAAATATATAGTAAGGATGTTTTACCTATTAAAAAAAAAACACACACACACACACACATTACTCATGTTCTTCCATGGGTCAAATTAGCCTAAATTTCAATCCCGATTTATTAGCTATATAACCATGGGAAGGTAAACTCTAACCTTTTTAAGTCTCTTTGAACTCAACTGTTTAATGGGTATAATGATGCTTATTCACAGGATGTCATGAGGATTTAAAAGACACTACACATGAAGTATTTGAGTACTACCTGGGCCACAGAAAGGGCTTAATATGTTAAAGCAATATCATTATCAATTATTATTAGTATTCATAAAAAATATCTCTATGTTGGAAGACAGGCAATGAAAGCATAAGCTTTCACACATACTTAACATTTAATACTAGCTATAAAAATTAATGGTGCCAATGCTAGAGACCATACCAGTACTGGGGAATTATAAAATGAGTGATTGCCTAAATATACATAGATTTTATGTTCACTGAACTATGAGATCAATATTTCAATTTCCTTTTGTATTAAGTTTGTATCCTATGTATAGCCACATAATAAAATTTATTTTGAAAGATGGCAATCTTCCTTTAAAATTATATAGGCTTTGGAATTTTCTGAATATTAACATTTCAGTGTTGGCATTCTTTGTTTCTTATCAGCTTACGTTGGAAAAAAAAAGATTATTTTCCTTAGGTGAGTTTTAATTTTAAAATACAATTAAAATCAAAACAAAAGAGAAAATGAAAGATGTAGATCACAGCATATGTATGCCAAGGCAGAAAACTCAACAGATTAACTCCCTTTTTTCCAAACCTTAAGTTTTGCCAAATGACATTTGGGGGTTATTTTCTAGGCTTCTCAAATTTAGGAAAAGTGTGACTAGATTAAAAAGAGAGAGAGAGAGAGAGAGAGAGAGAGAGAGAGAGAGAGAGAGAATATTTCCAGAACATGAGGTGGCTCATCTTAAAGATATCCTTAAGTTTTATGCCATATGAATGTAATGAACATTTAGAGTTTTTAAATGTTTTTTATGTTTATGTGATTGGATATTATAGCAATCCCATTATGCTTGTATAATGTACCCTCCATTTTTTTGTAGAGCATGCTTGGAAAGGGAAAGGATTTCCTTTTATTTGAACACAATTTGTACTTAGTCCTAATAATACTATAAATCGTCTTTAGTAAGCTATGTAGATTCCATTTATCTCTAAATTCAGATGAGGAAAATGCCCCCATCAAAGCCAGGGTAGTTTGAACCTCACTGACCAGGAGGAATAGACACTGATCTTTTGGTTCTGAGTTCTTTGAGAATACAAGCAAAGCATCACTGGACAATGAGAGAGCATAGCTTAACTTTTGAACCTAAGGCCTCAGGTCAGCTTTGCTCTTTTTCTTTCTCATATTATTCGGCAGTTCTTTTTAACCCACAGGCATTTCAGAGATGGGGTTCTGAACAGGCAGGCCCATGGGTGGGCCACATGAGCAATCCTGGAGCCTTCCTTACCTTGCATGAATTCATGAGCCAGTTAAGACTTAGCCTTTTATTATTCAAGCAGTAGGAAAATGCAGAGGTTACTATTTGGCTTCAGTTTTAAACCTAAGTTTGTTTTCCTTTTTTTATAATAAAAGTCATTAGGATGACATGAATTCTGAGCCAAAAATGTAAACATACTAGAGGTTATCCAGCCTATATTTCCCTAGATTATTCCCTACAAGTATTTTCCTACTCAGACCTGAAACATCTACCTCAACATCAGCTTGGAATCTTAACCTAACAGTTAATCTTAAACGTGCAGACATTTTGAGTAACAAAAATGGGAATGTAGATAAATGCTCTAAACCTAACCTCAAAGTATATTTTCAAATTTAAATTTCTATTTCTATGTGTATACACATACTCCTGTATGTAAATACATAGGAAGGTGTATATATACACACACACACACATACATACACACACACACATATACATACACACATGTATGGATATGTATATACAAACATAAAATGTATAGCATATGTATTATGTACACATTCATATATCTGTCTATTTCCTACACACCCAGAAATCCCCTGCTTTGTGATAATAAAATGGTTAGAATGCCTGATCAGACCCTTCATACATAAAGTTGTAATTACTATAATCAATTAGCTCTGACCATATCATGAACCCACTCCTCCACCTCTGCTCAAAACCTGGCAAGGCTTCCTCATAATTACTAGAAAAAATAAGGTCTTCCATCATGAGGCTCAAATCTCTTTTTTTCAGCCACATCTTACAATACTCATCCCTTTGATAACTCTGTGATTCCAGAAGCTTCTCTTTCAGTGATTCAGACCAAAAAAGCAATTTTCCAGACCCCTTCACACTCCTCATCGCCTCCTAGTTAACCTTAGGTCTTGGTTTAATTTTCATTCAGGGATCTCTTTCCCGGAAATTCAATCTAAAAATATTCTCCCCTGGCACCCTCCCCTTTTTTGTGGCACCATTTCTAGGGGCATGTGTACTGGTGTGACTAATTGTTGAATGTCCTTCTCCTCCCCTAGATTAGAAAATCACATTTGTCTTCCTCAGTTTTGAAGCCCCAGCTCCAAGCACAGTGCGTGTTTTCAAATACAATTAGAATGTTGCAGTTACAAATAAAAGGATTCAAACTTTCATATTGCTCATTCATTCTGAACACCTTTATTAATTTCATTTCAGAAATATTTTGCAATGAAGCTAAATGGGTTGACCCTGTCTGACCATCAGACATCTTATCTGTGATTCACGTAGAAAAAACTCATCGTAGTATGAAAAGCAGCAAAAGCTTGTCATCATTAAAATAGGAGATAAGATGCAGTCCTAGTTCACTCAAGCCAAGCTGGTAGTTCAGGCAGAGAAAGTAACTACAAAAAAACCTTGGTGCTGGAAATGTACAAGCAGGCAGGCCACAGGAGGGGACTCTAATCTTAACAGGAACAAGGTTTGGGGTGTGTCCTGGGTGCTCTGCAGGTTCAAACTATACAGAACAAGCATACAAGGTAATTGGGAACAGAACTGCCTCTTCCATCTCCCCAACTCTGAATGTCCTCAAGTAAATTTGCTCCCATAATGCTTTTCAAATAGCAGAAAGGCCCACACAGGGCAGACAAACTGTTCTCTGCCAATAGGAACGTCAGGTGTTACCTTGGAGATAAGGATCCTTTGCAATCAAACCCATGTCCTAAAAACATCAGATAATCACCCTACAATACACAGTGCTTAGATCAGAAAATAAGAGCTTTCCAATGGCCTACAGCCGCCAAGCTGCTTGAAACAAAACCCCAAATTCCTGAGTCCTGGAGATCATTGAGACATTGGATGCATATGGTAATGCTCTTAGAATGAGTAGGAAACCACAGGAAAATTTTCTCGTTTTATTTCTATGTATTTCTGTAAACAGATTCGAATGGGAAGATTGTTTTCCTCATTCATGTATCATTTGTCATACACCCACGCAAAGCAATGAGAGACTGTTCTTTCCCCCAGTGAATTTACCATTGAAAGGAGAACCAAAACACATGCAATTTCTAACTATTTACCAACAAGTGAGACTCACGACTGACAAAACAAGTAGGAAAAAGCACCAGTAACCCACATGTCCACCCCCACTCCTTCCCGCCCATCTGAACTACTGCAACCAAGAGAGGAAGGACTTCCAATTTGGACCAGACTGTTTGAATTCCGAAAATAAAATTAGACTGCAAAGGGTTAACAGGACTAAGGAAGGGAATAAATCAGTAAAACCCCTTAACTAAGTGCCAGGCGGGTAGTTAATCACCTTAACTACGAACAATCACGCTTAAGCTACATAATCTTTACTTAGGATAATCTCCTTCAGTTACTTCCTTGTAGGTGAACTGAACAGTAGAGTAGTGACCTTGGAATGGAGATAACAAACACCCTAAACTTTGGAATAGAATGGATGGGATTAAAATCAACAGAACTAGATGGAGATGGGATTTGCCAAGGGAGGACCCAAAACATACCATGATGTGATTATAGGGGCATGCTTATAGGATCAAATGGTATAAATACAGATGTCACAGGAGAACAGAGAGAGAACCTGACTATGCTGCTGATCTGAACGCTGCCTCCATGTCATTCCTTCTTCGCCGACTCTGTCCACACCTTTGGGAACCCCTGGACCTGCTGGGGCTGGACCCCGGCATCTCAAGAGCGGCAGGGGGCAGAACAGAAAGGAAGCCCTCGTGGTCGCCCTGCAGTTTCTCTGGCTTGTTCTCGCCGTTCTGGGCCTAGAGGCGACGGGATCAGAAGGTGAGAGAAGCGCGGAGCACTCGGCGTGAGGAAGCATCTGGGAGCCTCTGCGGCGGCGCCAGGTCACCGAAGCCCCCTGCCGC